CGTTGCTTGTTTTTGAGCAGAGTGGATCGCCAACCAGCCTACCGTTAAATATTAAATAAAATACAGTTCAGTGTCAGTTACCAGATTACAAAGTTTGCACTCCTTTATTTTGTTTTCACATAGGTTCTCTTGACTTCTTGTTTTCCTCTTTTATCATTTAAAGCAAGGGTGTCTTCACCTGCGCATGCGTCAGATGGCCATAGCGTGTCATTGTTTACAAACAAGCGTCTACCCATGAGCTTTTGCATTTTTATTGTGTGTTGTTATCATCGCTTGGGACTCAATTCCCATGCGTGCGCAGGTGACAACCCTCCCGCTTTAACAACCATCATGGTTTTTTTTTTTAAGAACTACATTCACCAAAAATATTAAATAAAATACAGTTTAAAAATAAGAATTTCAAATGGAATTTAATATATATTGTTTTTCACTATTAAATAATTCTAACAATGTAAAGTTTTTCTTCTTCAGATTCACCAGAAAACACAGCTTGTGTCAGAACATTACAAGTATATGCACTCTCCTACAAAGTTGGAAAGCTATGATGTCATTAAAACTCAAAAAGCGAGGCAACAGATTCTCGATTTTACTTGTGATGATAACAAATGGAACTCAAGCAATCACTACGAGCAGTACAGAAATATATTTGTAGACGATCAATATAAATTTATGTATTGTGCGGTCAGAAAAGTTTCTTCAATTACTTGGAGTAGCATCGTTAGACAACTACACAATAACAAAAGTGGACAGCGGTTTTTTAAAAGACTTCTTTCCACATACAAACCGCTGGAGATTAAACACAGGCTCAGCAGTTATGTCAAATTTATGTTTGTGCGTGAACCAATGGAAAGAATTTTTTCTGCTTGGTATGACAAATTCGTCAACGGATTTCAAAAAGACGAATACGAGCATTTGTTAGGTCCAAGAATCGTCGGTAAGATTAGACCCTGCCCTCACCATCGTAATTGTGCAAAGGAAATACTGTCTTCAAGACATCCGAATATGAATATAACGTTCACTGAATTCTCACGTTATCTGCTCGAGATTGTAACCGACATTGAGAAAGAGGACATGCACTGGAATCCGTATTATTATCACTGTGATCCCTGCTTTATAAAATATGATTTTATTGGACACTACGAGACTATAAAACCGGATGCCGACGAGATTTTGCGAAAGTTGAGAATAGACCACCTGGTAAAGTTCCCAGAAGGTAACTCGTCATCTGTGCCGTTGATGAGACAGCACTACGCGGAGTTAGGTCCTGACGTAACGGAAACACTCGCACATTTGTATAGCTTGGATTACCAAATGTTTGGCTATTCTATCAATCAAACATTGCAGTTATTAGGAATGTCAAAACCATGAAGATATATAGGATGTGATCAGGATGATGCTGTATACACAATAATTATCTTGTATTCAAAATATTAGAAATATTACTACATGATGCATACGTGTATAAGACTAATAAAATAAATAATAATGGCCGACAATAATCAACATAGGGTGACAAGAGTAAGTTATGATATACCAGCCATGACCAATACTAAACGTTTTTACATTTTTCAATTTTGAATTGCACATTTGGCATTTTTGAAGTAGGGATTTAACAATGCCAAAAAATGTCAAAGATTCAAAAATGCCTAATTTGTAAAAAATATAGTACATTGTAGTTTCCAAACATGCACCATAACATACAGATACACGTATCAATATTTAATGTTTGATCTCAAAAATTACAAACGTGTATGTTCGTCTGCTGTTTGCCATACCTCTGATATTGACATGAAGAGATTACATGGACTCCATGAGAAAATGAAAACAAGCAGATGAACAACCAACACAAATTTTCACTGTGTACGAAAAAGCCACCCACAGTATTGTAATATAGATAACTATTTGGCAAACACATTAGTAATATTGATAGTTCAAGTGTAACAATTGTAATGTTAATCAGTGCAGTGAAACTAAGTTCAGCTGTGGTTTTAAACCATAAACTTTATATGATACAATGTTTTTTGTTTTGATCCAATCAGATAAAAATCGTTATTCACAGGTACAAGTATATTACACATCAATTGTGTTTCAAGAATGAAAAATACAAAACTAGATGTTTTATATATTGATCCATGTGCATATCATACACTAATTATGTTGTAGTACAAGTATGATTATCCAAACTATATTTACAGTATTAGCTGAAGTGATGTATTTTCTAATTTCAAATTAAATCATTAAACATACACATTTCAGAAGCTGAAAATTAATTAACAACAGCAAGCCCCAGTGATCGCAGACAAAAATGAACAATGCATTTTTTTTTCTAAACCGGGGAACAGGGGCGCAGCGCCCTGATACTCTCGGCTTGCGCCCTCTTACCGAATTGCCGATTGAACTTTCAAGTCATAAATATATTTCTTGAGCCGCGCACTTCTGTGCTCCTGTACAACATGAAATCTTTCTCAAATATATTTTTCTCCGTGAAAACTTCCCAGCAACACCAGCTAACAATGTGTCTGGACACCAAATACACTAAAATTACTTCAAAATATTTCAATGGCGATAGCTACACCATTAAAACGGCGCAGAAACCTTACGATATGGTGTTTCCAGGTCGATCGCCTGTGTGTGCTCCCTCTGGTTCATTTTTTTTAGAAAATCCCCTGCAATGTATTATTTTCAGGTGTTATGTTATGCTGGTTCATTTTCTCTGAAAATGGAATGGTGGCCAAATTGGATGCCATATGCAGGTGTTTGATGAATATATATATATATATATATCTGTTGGAATAGACGGCAAAATATATTTGTTTTTGATGATTGTTAGGTAGTCTTCGGCTGAAATCAGAACACTTTTCTCCAGACGTAAAACAAGTATGATTTTAAGCAATTAGGGGGTATACCGTGAACTCATTTTTGAGATTTATTTCAGAACTGCTTGAAGATTTGGTTGATGAACATGGTGTTGCACTAAACACCAAAAACCTTGTACAGTTCCAAACACTTATGGTAGTTTGTTTGTTTGTTAGGCACATATCAACTTTAGAAAACTGACATTGTAGAAACGTATTTTCTCTATTACGACAGTCACCACTATCTTGTCCATAATGCATGTTTCAACGTACAATGATGCATACTATTTGTATAAAGTTCTAACCTGTATCCATGGTAACCATGACATAATAGAAAAATAGCATAAAACACTGTAAACCACTTTATTTTTTGCCAGAGACAAATTTTAGAGAGTTATTGGTAGTGAAAATAATCTCAAAATACTTAAGTCTCACGATTATGGAGACCTTTGTGAAAATTTGCTCACATCAATGTCATTAAATTATTAAATTGCGAATATTTCTAGTTACACAAATTAAAATGTTTGCAGTATAGGAATATTAATCATTCAAAAGAAAAGTTTTGAAATAAATTTGAAGTTTGTAATTCTTTTATGTGAATCTATTGCCGGACCAAAGTTCTTTTTAATGACGAGTAATGAAATTAATGTAACCTATAGATTTAGTACTTTTTTGACAGATATGCCATAGTGATACAGCATTAGTTATTAAGTTCTAAAATTGCAAGATATCATTGCTACAAAACACTGTTCAAACATTTTCATAGTTCAAATGGTAATTAAGTTAAGAACTACAGTGGTGTGTGATGAAAATACTGCTATGCTTTCCTCAACGGCAAAACAAAATAACAGTTTCAGGTAGAAATATTATAACCTTATAATTTTACAAATATGATTCTACCCACACTCCTCCTATAAGCGGAAGAGTTAAATCAAATATCCTAGTAGTGTGCCCAAAGACATAAACTAAAGAAGCAATAACATAATTCATTTCTCTACACTGTATTTATTAATATATTCCGACATTACCATTTCTGAAATCACTATCTCATCACACTCTGTATACATATACATATACATTCACCAGGATTTATTTGAAACATTTTGCACTGTGTACAAGTATTATTTACAGAAATTCTCCTCTGTACGCTCCATAAGGGCTTTGGATTTTGTAAAGGTTGTGAAAAATCTTATCCAACAGAATCCTAAAATCAAATTTAGAAGAGCCTCCTGAAATAAAGTGAAAGCACTTTGAGCGTTTATAAAAGTGAAATGTATGTTTGATTTGTTGATTAAACATCACAACCTTCAGAGTAGGCTAGCTTCAGTATTCCATATTTCAGGATTTGTCTCCAAAGCAACTAATTTTATCGTTTTTCATAGTGAACACAACTTGAATAATCAGTGGGAGCTGTTGTGCATATAATACAAATCAATTAAAATTAAAATCTTGATTATGTTTAACATTCAACTTACTGGTATCTAAAACTATGTGGGAAAATCAGTGTATTGATAAAAAGATGTTTTCAGTAAAAATAACATTCAAGCAGAAAGAATATGGGCATTAAAACCCACTTTGTTTCTAATTAGTCTCTTCTCTTCACTACTGTGAGCATCGTAAATAGTTCAGTTAATACACTGATGTTAAATATTTATTAAACATATTTAGTACATATTACTTTAATTAAATATACAAGTGACAGTGGTGACTAATGTTGAAATCAATGATCACAGAAATAAAATAAAATTAAAGTCTCCTTCATAACTAACGACTGAAGATGTAAATTTCATTCATTTTTCTACTTCCTCTTCTTGCTATTTTTGCCTTTTGTGTTCTCCGCATCACGCGCTGCTTGTGCCCCGATGAGATGACTGGCCGCTTGTACGATCATGCAGAATGGTATTACCATCCAGAACATGTTCAGAAACACAAAGTAGAACCAGAAGTATAGAGGGTGCCACATTTTACTGTGAATGAACCCATCTCTGACTTCAGTGACGAAATACAATGTACAACCTGCAAGTTCAGAAGACTGTATTTTATTATGGCGCCCTCTGTGTCAGATTTTGAGACCAAAGTTGAACATGTGATTGCGATGACTGAAAATATTTGTTGTCCTGGATTGAATCAAATATTTCTTTATTGATGTATACTTACCATAAAGCTGACCCATGGATACTAACATCTGTGCTACATAGCGGTATGACTTTCTGTTTAATAAGGCATACGCGACAAGAAAACATCCGGGACCTTCAAACCACGCCGTGATGTTCTCCATGCACACAGTAAAGTTGTCAGAGCTGTCAAAAACAATAACATATTTGTAAATTACTAGATGAAATGATTAAATTGAGTCAAAATTCTTTCAAAATGTTAATGAGATTATGTCACTTCTCGACTGTCATTCACAACTAACCTAGGTGGTCAATTTTGATAACTGTAATTTTTACTAACTACTAGTATTTGAAACTTATACCGAATGAAAACAACTCAAATAACTTTCTCCTGTACTTGAATGGTAAACTGACATTTTCTCAAATATTTGCACTATGATAAATAAAATTAGATTGCAGATTGTTGTTCATTCAGTTCATATTGGCTTTTTTGAAGTCCATGGGCATGCACTGATAAATCACTGTAACTATGGAAACACATATCCAAAAAATACACAAATGTATACATGTATAATACTTTTTATTATTTGTTTAATCTCGTATTTTTGTAATCAATACTGAAAAAAAACCCAATGATAACTCCCGTGTTACCAAGTGTATACGTTTCTTTACATCATTGTTGTAAGTAACAGGACTACAAAATGGACTACGATGAAAGTACCAAAACTTACATAATATAACGACTATCTCCTTTTCCATATTCCTTCCCTATATGGATGAGAATAATAAAATACTTATAAATGTTAGGAACTATGTTCTCACTAGAAAAAATTATTATTAGTGTCCAACTTTCTCTTTTTTCTTTTTTTAAAAAAAAAATTTAAATATATTTTTTTTAATTATTATTTTTGTTTATCTATGACAATTTTATTTTGTTTTACTTGGTGATATTAAGTTTACAATATATAAGGAACTTAATAATGGCAAATAAAACCAAGAAAATATTCATAAATAAGTAAAAATAACAATAAAGAAAAGAAACCTACATCAAATTTTAATCAGATTGTAATAAAATAGTTTATTTTCACTTGGAATTAACTTTCGCTATTTTCACTGAAGGAATGATTCAGTGAAAATAAAATCCAGCAAATATACCTTTTTTCATCTATTTTGCATTCATCTCGTCAATAATCATACAAAACACCTAAACACCTAAATCGTCTTTTCAGCAAAAATTAATTCCAGCTTAAATAAAGTATTTTACAGTACTCCTTGGAACATTGTCATCAGTGTTTGTTTTGACTTCGGCATTTTACGGTAATCTTAAGTTGAATACCCATAACTAGAGTACAGTAAAAACAGTGAGTGGGTGAAACCATTGCACACTCAGATTCAAACACTGTGAGTGGGTGAAACCATTGCACACTCAGATTCAAACACTGTGAGTGGGTGAAACCATTGCACACTCAGATTCAAACACTGTGAGTGGGTGAAACCATTGCACACTCAGATTCAAACACTGTGAGTGGATGAAACCATTGCACACTCAGATTCAAACACAGTGAGTGGGTGAAACCATTGCACACTCAGATTCAAACACAGTGAGTGGGTGAAACCATTGCACACTCAGATTCAAACACAGTGAGTGGGTGAAACCATTGCACACTTAAATTCAAACACAGTAAGTGGATAAACCATTGCAAATTGCTCAGATTCGAAAACAGTGAGCGGATCAAACCATTTCAGATTCAAACACAGTGAGTGGGTGAAACCATTGCACACTCAGATTCAAACACTGTGAGTGGGTGAAACCATTGCACACTCAGATTCAAACACTGTGAGTGGGTTAAACCTTTGCACACTCAGATTCAAACACACTTGAAGAAGAAGAAGAAGAAAGATAGAGGAGTTTGAGGCAC